TATATGTTTTCTACAAGGTATGACATTATATATTTCATTTTTTGTGAAGTTTTCCAGTGTTCACCACATCTCAACCTTCCAATTTCTCCTTTAGAAGGCATTCATGACATAGGAGTGAGACTTGGGGTTTTGGCTCCTTTCGTTTCTTTTTTCCCTAAACTTTCATTTAACGAGCATTTTTCCCTCTCCTTTTCATCAACTGGAAAGAAAAAAAAACCCTAGTAACAAATATATATATATATGTTTATATGCAAAACAAATTCTCACATTGGTCATATAAAAAATATATGGCTTATTTTGCATCTTGAGTTCACCCATCTTTCTGTCAGTTGGTGGATAGCAGCCTGGGTCAAAGGTTTACAGTTTAGTGACTCTTGGGGCATAGTTCAAAATTCCTTTCCAGAGTGGCTAGACTAATTTACTGTTCCACAAACATGGCACTAATGTTCCAGTTTTCCCACAGTCTCTGCAACATTTGTCACTCACTTTCATTCTCAAACCTGAGCCATGTAACATATTCATATAATCATAGTTATAGAAGGCCATAAAATTCTATTTTAATACTTCATCATGGCATGGAGAGGACCCTGGGATTTTGAAAGCTGTATCAGTAAAACATAAGCTCTGATGGGTTCTACTAGCTCAAATAGCTTCAAGTATGGTCTACAGTCTGTTTTGCAAGGAATAGCCTAGCTAAGTACAGAAAGCCCATCACTGTAGACTGGCTATGAGTCTGCTGGCTGGTCTCCTTACCTCTTCTCCTAACTACATTTGATCTTTTACTCAGTTTTCAAATTGTAGGTGATTCTTCACCTGGGAGATGGCCATCTACCTGAGAGCCAGTGTGGCTTCAGAAAGGGCCAGGGAACGGTCAATATGGTGTTTGCAGCCTAACAACTCCAGGAGATATGCCAAAAGCAGAACAGAGTTCTGTATATAACATTTGTAGATCTGACCAAGCCTTTGATACTGTTAGTTGCAAGGGCTTATGGAAAATTATGTCAAAATTTGGTTGCCTGGAGAAGTTTATCAGTATTGTATGTCAATTTCATGATGGCATGCTTGCCTGGGTTCTTGATAATGGACGACGATTTTGCGCTTTCCCAGTCATCAGTGGAGTGAAACAAGGCTGTGTGCTTGCTCCCATGCTTTTCAGCACGATGTTTTCAGTGATGTCGTGAAACGCTTTCAGTGAGGATGAACATGGCCTCAAGGTCATCTACCACACTGATGGCAAATTCTTCAACTTGAGAAGGCTACAAGCTAAGACCAAAGTGGAGCGAGTGTTGGTACATGATTTTTTGCTTGCAGATAATTGTGCACTCAATGCAGCCTCTGAAGTTAAGACGCAACAAATTATAGATCAATTCTCTGCTGCTTGTCCTAATTTTGGCCTAACAATTAACACCAAGAAAACACAGGTGCTCCATCAGCTAACCACACCATCCATATGTGAAACCATCAGTTATAGCAAATGGAGAAGTTCTGAACGCTGTGGATAAATTAATTTACCCTGGCAGTAATACTTTCAAGGGATGTACATATTGATAATGAGATTGACACATGCCTTGCCAAAGCTAGCTTTGTTTGGGAAACTCTGAAGGAAAGTGTGGGAGAGAAGAGGTTATTAGACTGACTACCAAACTGAAGGTCTACAGAGCTATTGTCCTGATCTCATGGGTGTATGCCTGTGAAACCTGGACAGTATACCAATGCCATGCCAGGAAACTGAATCACTTCCATTCGAATTCTTAGGAAGATTTTGAAGATCACCTAGCAGATAAGATACCAGACACTGAGGTCCTTTCTTGAACTAAACTGCCAAGCATTCAAACTCTACTGCAGACAGCAGAACTACGATGGGCTGGCCATGTTGTTCGAATGCCAACTGTATGCTTGCCAAAAAGATTATTTTACGGAGAACTCACACAGGGCAAGCACTCACATGGTGGTCAGAAGGAGCAATACAAGGACACTTTAAAGGTCTCTCTTAAGGACTTTGGAATTGATTGTGTGACATGGGAAATGCTAGCACAGAACTGCCCAGCATGGCGTGCCTGCATCAAAGAAGGTACTTAGCTCTATGAGCAAAGCAGAATTGAAGTAGCTCCAAAGAAATGTGAGATGCACAAATTTAGAGAATCTACCCCAAATGTTCACATGGACTATGTGTGCATGACCTGTGATAGAGCATGTCAAGCTTGTATTGGTCTGATCAGCAGCAGCTGAATGCACTGTAACTTGACTCTAACATAGTGATGTCATTTTGGTCGTTTTCGAGAATGAAGGAGGACAACAACCAACCAACCAACCAACTCCCCAAAGTACGCTTGACCTTTCCATCTACCCTGAAACTGAACCTTCTTATGCAGGATATCTGCCCTAATGAAAATATGTGCTCCTTTGGAGCAAGGATTGTATTGTTTTCTATTTGTATCCCCCCAGTGCTCAGCATAGGATCTGATATATAATATACATGTAGTAAGTGCTTAATAAATGTTTCTCCATCCCACCACACAACTGACTGAAGGATGTAGAGACTCCAAGATTCTACTGTGCTTATTGCTTTATTTTTAAAAAAGCATTTGAACTGGTAGAAGAAAACAGCACCTTAAAGACTCTCTTTCAACAAAGTGTCGTCTAAATATATGTCCAGATCAGTCAAGATTCTTTAAAAGATGTGAGTAACTACAGAGATAACATTGCTCAATGACCCTTTGATCAGAAACACCAGGTGAGGTATAAAACAGGGAGATGTATGTTTGCCAAAAGTGTTTGCCACTGTAGTGGAGGAGATCCAGTGCAGGCCATGTTGAAGAGGGGTTTTCTTTAGATGATGATGTCCTCCAGATGTTACATCAAGCACATGGTAACACAAAGGCTCCTGTAAGAGTTCTGTGACCCCTCAAAAGAGTTTGGTCTGATCATCCACAAAGGAAAAATCAAGTGAATACAAAATATCTATTGCTCAAGTGATGACATACAGTTTATCTGGACATTCCATAGAACTTCTCCATCATATATACATCAGGACAAACAGTACACATAGAAAATGGGTTGGGCCAAGAATTAAATAAGAGGAGAGCAGGTTAGATTGTGTTCAGGAAATGACAAAGCTCCTTTAATGACCCCAAATTTCTTCTAGAAACAAAGGCCCATGTTTTTAATATCAATATTCTATTGGTGTTGTTATGTAACTTGGAGACAAGAAACACAATTGTCTTCAAAGCACTGACAATAAGTATCACACACACACACACACACACACACACACACACACTAAACCCCACAATGGCTGACTACAGCATAAATGCAAAGAGCTAAAAATATAGACTGAATACGTGTAATTATTTTTTTTTAAATTTTTAATTTTTTTATTTTTAGGCAATTGGGGTTAAGTGACTTACCCAGGGTCACACAGCTAATAAGTATCAAGTGTTTGGTCTGAGGCCATACTTGAACTCAGGTCCTCCTGACTTCAGGGCCAGTGCTGTATCCACTGCACCACTTAGCTGCCCCATTTTGTTGTTGTTGTTTTTTTGTTTTGTTTTGTTTTGTTTTTGAGGCAATCAGGGTTAAGTGACTTGCCCAGAGTCACACAGCTAGTAAGTGTCAAGTGTTTGAGGCTGAACTTGAAATCAGGTCCTCCTGACTCCAAGGCTAGAGTTCTATCCGTGTCGCCACCTAGCTGCTCCTGTGTAATTCTAATGACCAAGTATAGTTCCAAAGGAGAGAGATGAGGAAAATGCACCTCCTTACCACAGTAGAAATGGAAGACTATGGGTATGCGATTTTGCATATGCTACCAGACACAGTGTATATATACTGGTTAGTTTTGTTGAACTATTTTTTCCTCTCTTTTAAAAACTCTGTTATGAGGGATAGCCCCCTGGGTAGAAAAATAGAAGGGATAAAATTAGAAATGAATGTGACATAAAAGTCATAAATAAAAATATGATGAATTTTTTTAAAAGACATTAATTGCATTAGAACACACCTATTTCATAAAGGGGAAAATATCTGTATTCATGTTCATTTCCTCTTTGTCTATATTGTTTTCCCTATTAAATTCTATGTTCCTTTAGGATAAGCTATGTCTTATTATTAATATTTACTTCATTGCCTTAATATAAATTTTATCAATCTTATAGTCAAATACCTTTTTTCTTCCTCCTGAGAATTTATTAGGGCACAAAGAAATTAAAATATAATACATATTTATATGTTTGCAATTTAAGTGATATGTATTTAATTTAGATTTTCAGGTTATCTCAGAGTTTGTAGTCTAGAATTCTATATGTTGTTAAGTGCTTAAGAAATACCTGATTAGTTGAATTAAATTAAAAATGAAATAGTGATGCACAAAAATAGGTCTTCCATTAAAGTTAAAAAATAGATCGCTGGGGCAAGGGAGCTAGGTGGCGCAGTGGATAGAGCATCAGCCCTGGAGTCAGGAGGACCTGAGTTCAAATCCGACCTCAGACACATAACAGTCACTAGCTGTATGACTCTGGGTAAGTCACTTAACCCCAACTGCCCTCACCAAAAAAAAAAAATAAATCACCAGAATGGGCTTATCAATTGCAATAACAGACACAAAATATATTCAACAAGTTCAGAGTCTCAAAGACTAATCAAATCTCTTTTTTGTGTAGACAACATTAATCAAACTATTAATATCTATTATGTTCCTACCAGATTTGCCTTCCCATCTATCCTAATTTGTGTGCTCTTTATCTTCTTGATTTTTTTTAACAAACAAAAAAGCTTTCTGTTCAGCAAAATTAGCAGGGAAAATTTTCTTAAAGGAAAGGGACCTTTACAAGCAACCAAAAAGCATATCATGTACAGAAGCACCATAAGTTATACATTTGTCTAGTTTTTCTCATTAATGATATTCACATTACATCAATGAATGCAAAATTATAAAAGCTGGAGTTGCAACAAAATTTAAGATTCAGATGTATTTTATTTAGATGAGAAATAAAAGCTTTCCTTACCTCATTATTTTATCCAGTTCTTTCTCTTCACTTTAAACAGACTTTTATGCATCTTTAAAGTGTTCTTTGTCGCAGCACCTGTGGTTACAATTCAGCCCTATGTAAAACAGAATAAATTCTATTACTGAAACATAGCATCAAGTTTCATAGGGGAAAATCACTCAGAAACAGAGTGGGCATTTCGGCCAAATAGTTTCAATTTTCTCTCATGCCAAGCCTTTTTATAAGAGCTGTGGAAAAAAAAAAAGCTAGCAAAATTAATTAGGCATTAAGGGAACCAAAGAGTAGCTATCTATACTAGATAAAAAGCTAAACACAATAAAAAAAGCAACATAATGGAATTAAAAATGTAAGCAGATGCTGGGATGCATAATTGAAACTAGAACTAGCACTTGATTATATAATAAGGGCTAGATACAGAGAGGATAATTAAAATGTAAAATTTCAAAACCTCCTTTTACCCAGGAGATTCACCATCTTTCTCAACCTAAACTTTTACCACAGCTCAGCAGAAATAGCAAAAATCAGTTGTTTAGATTAGTGGTCTTTACAGTTTCAGGTCGTACAAATTTTCTGGGTTTTTTTTGGGGGGGGTGGTAATTTTTTATATCTTAAACTCCAACTTTTGAAGTAGTACTATACTGGGGCCTAAAGATGAAGGAGCAGACACCAAGTCTATCTATGACTATACTTTCTTTTAACAAAGCCCTAGCCATGTTTCAGAGATTCCACAGATTCTGTGAAATAAAAGTTTGAAAGTCACTTAATTAGAATTTCACATTCTTTCTCCTACAAGAAGATTCTTTGCTTAAGATGCTCATGGTCAATGAAAAGGCCTGAAAGTGAAAGAATCACAGGAAGAAGGAAGAGTTATAGACAATCTATGAATCTGAGAATGAGTTACTGGACCGTGGGGATTGAGTAAGTTCAGTGGATCAACAAAAAGCAATTAGTGAAAGTTAAGACTTAGGTGTATGCTAAGCCGTTCAAGACTAAGAAGCAGTTGAGCTTTTGGTTAGTTCTATAGTTTTGTTTTAAGTTATGACTTTCCTTTCCCTTTTAATTATTTTACTAAGACCAGTAGTTCAAAATATCAGAATTCCTCACCTTTTTTCCTTAAAAAGTTTAAAGAAAAAAATATATATAAGTGCTTGTGATTATACAATGGATCTTTCCCATAACTAAAACTACTACCCTACGTACATCACAATAGGGAAATCCTTAACACAAATCTAATAAAAACCAGAAGCTACAAATATTTTAATCTAAAAATTCATACTTATCTATTTCAATTTCATTAATGAAGACATTTAATCTAGAGTTGCCATTCTATTATTCTTTTTTTTTTTTCTGCTTTTTGGTGAGGCAATTGTGGTTAAGTGACTTGCCCAGGGTCACACAGCTAGTAAGTGTCAAGTGTCTGAGGCTGGATTTGAACTCAGGTCCTCCTGACTCCAAGGCTGCAGTTCTATCCTCTGCGCCACCTAGCTGCCCCCACTCTGTTATTCTTAGCAGACCTTTTTATAATAAAACTTTTAATGCTACACTCTATCATAACTGACATTTAGTGTTATAGCTAGTTGACTAGAACATAGTGCAAATGCCCAAAGCTGTGGATTTTATCATCTGTGAGCTAGCTTTGTTCTATTCTTTGACTCCTGACTTACACCTTTAACTGATTTGGCCAGCTTGCAAATGTATGTTCATAAATAGGAGTAGAAGAAAGATTTATCCATCACCACTCTTGGAGAAACATTAGACATGGTTGAGCGTCAGTCATCAGCATTACCTTCATTTAGAAAAATGCAGGATTATTATTATTATTCTTAAGAAAGCATTTATACTTTCTTAAGCAAGGTGTCTCTTCAAACGTTAAATTACTTTCCAGATAAATAACATTAGAACAAGCTGAAGTGCTTTTTTTTTAATTAGAGGATGATAAGAGGAATTTTAATCAAGGGGCTCTATTTTAAAGTTGTTAATAAAGGCTTTTCATTGACTTAAAAAAAGTTTACAGATATTATTCTGTAGCCACTGGAATTTTCTTGATCTTGAGCATTAGTTTGATGATAACATTTCAGGCACTCTCAATGTATAGTTTAGGGGCATATCAGACTTTTAAGAAAGAAATATTACAAAGGGACTGAGCAAAAATCTAGAATCATAGAATGTTAGAACTGAAAAGGACCTTAGGGATCATTTAATCCAACCCTCTCATTTCATAGATGAGTAAAGAAAAGCCCAAAGAGATGACTTGACTTGTTCAAGGTCACACAAATAAAAAGTGGCAAAGCCAGAATTTCAACCAGGTCTACTGATTCCTAAGTACAGTGCTCTTGCTACAGTTGTGATAGCCCATGAGAGAATGACTGCAATTTAGTAATGCTTTCCTTATTTAGTTGCCTTAAAAATTATAATTTTCAGAAAATCATGGTTCTCTCATTTCCAAACGGAATTTAGAGGGTTTTTTTCACTTAAAGTATAAACTTTCAAACAAAATACAGAAATCAATCAATTTCAGTCCCCACATTTACTTGTAAAGCAATCAATCAACTAGCAGGATAAATAAAACTACTTATGGCTCCTCCATCAAGGATAAAGTTTTACCAGTTCCAAAAAACGAAAATGAAGCACCAATTCTTGTAACTGTTAGTCTAAGAAGGAACCCACTTGGGATCATCTGTCTTTGAGTTCTCCTGGCTGCAGCTAGGGCAGTGAAGGGATTTTCCCAATGCAGTAACATTACAAAGCTCTTGAGTTCCAACAGCCACATGGTAACTATGACAGCAAATCCAGAGGTGCTTGTGAGGTCACAGAAAACCTATGATGTAACTTTAGTTTTCTTTGATATAATAATAATTTCTAACCTTTATAGGTTGCTAGGTGGCACAGGGGATAGAGTGCCAGGCCTGGAGTCAGCAAGACTCATCCTTCTAAGTTCAAATTTGGTCTCAGACACTTCCTAGCTGTGTGATTCTGGGCAAGTCACTTAACCCTGTTTGTTTCAGTTTCCTCATCTGTAAAGTGAGCTAGAGAAGGAAACAGTAAACCATTCCAGTATCTTTGCCAAGAAAACCTCAAATGGGATCACAAAGAGCAAGACACGGCTGAAAAACAACTAAACAACAACTTTCGTGCATTGCTTATCATCTCCAAAATTCTTTACAAAAATAATTTTTATATTAACTGCAGAATAGTAAAATATTAATTTCACAGAGAAGGAATAAGTAATTGATTTACACATGGCTCTAGTGATAGGCGGGATAAGAACTTGGGGATTTCTGGTTCCATTTTATATTGAACTGTTTTTATTTACACTTTTCTCTGCTACTGATAAAGGCCATGAACTATATTTAACTATTTAATAAATACATACTGAGGAGAATGATTGGTAGCATATCACATATAAACTAAGATCTATCTCTAAAATAGTCCCACTTTGGTGGGGGGAGGCAGAGCCAAAATGGCAGAGAAAAGGCAGGGACTTGCCTGAACTCTCCCAAATTCCCCTCCAAACTTTACATAATGCCTCACAATGAATTCTGGAGCTACAGAATCCACCAAAGGATAGGGTGAAGCAATTTTCCAGCCCAACAACTTTCTACTCCAAGGATGATAGGAAAGGTCTGTCATACTGGGGTGAGAGTGGAGTGCAGGTTGTGTCTCAGCCAACCAGCGGCAGGTCTTGGGGATGACTGAATCAGCAGCTGCAGTGATGGCTTCTGGACCTCAGTCCACAGACAGTAAGAAGGTCAGACAACTGATCAGGAGGAGAATAAGGAGGTCCCTTTGCTGGCATGGGTTGCAGGACTCTAGCACTTCCTATACGCAGATCTAGACTATAGTATTGGGTTATGGTCCTAGGACAAGAAGGAGCACTAGCATACCACAGCTTGAGGCCACAGGGGAGTAGGAATTCTGGTTACAGTTTCAGGGCAGGAAAAAGCACTTGTGGTCACCCATAGACCAGAGTAGAGGCCAGGAGATGAATAAACATACCTCTCCTTAGATTGTGTCACCTGAGAAGATATAAAAACTTACAGACCTCCACAATTAGCTCTGAAAACAGTTGCCCAAAAAACCTGAAGCTTAGGACAGTGTCCCCTCCACCTTGGAAGTATAGCCCAACTTTAACATATAAAGTTAAAAATCAAGAAATAGCAGGAAAAATAAGCAAACAACAACAACAAAAAAATGCTGACCATAGAAATTTACTGTGGTGATGGAGAAGATCAAAACAAAAATGCAGAAGAAGACAACAAAGTAAAAACTTCTACATCCAAAACCTCAAAGAAAAACATGAACTGGTGTTAGGTCATGGAAGAGCTCAAGGAGGATTTTAAAAGTCAAGTAAGAGAAGTAGAGGAAAAATTGGGAAAAGAAATGAGAGTGATGCAAGAAAACCATGAAAAAAGAGAAAACCATTTGGTAAAGGTGGCACAAAATATACTGAAGAAAATAACACCTTAAAAAACAGAACAGGCTAAATGGTAAAAGAGGCACAAAAACCCACTGAAGAGAAAAACACTTCAAAAACCAGATTCAGCCAAATGTAAAAAGATATAAAAAAATTGAAGAAAAGAACTTCTTAAAAACTAGAATTGGCCAAATGGAAATGAAGGTACAAAAGTTCACTGAAGAAAATAATTCCTTAAAAATTAGAATTGGGCAAATGGAAACTAATGACTCCTTGAGATATCAAGAAAATGATAAAACAAAATAAAATGAATGAAAAATAGAAGAAAATGTAAAACATCTCATTGGAAAACAACTGACCTGGAAAATAGATCCAGGAAAGATAATTTTAAAATTACTAGACTACCTGAAAGTCATGATAAAAAAAAGAGCCTTAACATCATCCTTCAAGAAATTATCAAAGAAAACTGCTCTGATAGCCTAGAACCAGAGGGTAAAATAGAAATTGAAAGAATCCACCAATCACCTCCTGAAAGAGATTCCAAAATGAAAACTCCCAGGAATATTATAGCCAAATTCCAGAGCTCCCAGGTCAAGGAGAAAATATTGCAAGCAACCAGAAAGAAATAATTCAAATATCATGGTGCCACAGTCAGAATAACACAAGATTTAGCAGCTTCT